GTTGACAAGGGGAGATTTAGCAGAAATTTCTTTCCTTATGCTAAAAATAGATTTTGTTAATGATACTCATAGGACAAACGATTATATTTAGTGCTATTTGAATTAAGAATAACTGATTTGTTATTCACATAAAGCCAGAACCAGCGCCAGAGCTCGCGTGGCCACACCAGGTGGCAGAATTTAGCGAAGTTAAACAGAAGTTTTTCATTGTGATGACAATGCCCAATCATCAATCATTTAACAGAGGGCGAAATCTGTAGTATGGTTCTAAATCCAGAAAATACAGCTACCGATAGTGAAGAAAGTAACAGAGAGGTTACTGAACGAGAAAAAATTTTGATCGACAAGTTATTCGGAATTCTCGACACAGCAATTACAGGACTTGAACAATGGAACTTAATAACTGAACAAGAAATTATATGTCTATAGTATTAGCCTAAAGTATTAGCAGAGAAAACAAATCAAACAACTCACATTGAAAGAAATGTTTAATAAAGTAAACATATAAATATTAAGCTCTTTTCTTTTGTAAATTTTGATACCCTTTAAATCATAAATGCTTCATTATTTCATAAATCACGATTTCATATTTTCAATTTTATAATTTCTACATGCCATCTTAGTAGATTTAAAATGATCTAATATCCGGAAAAATCTCAAATCTGGGATCGCCGAAGTCCCGACGAGTCCAGACCTCGGACTTTGTACTGTATAAATATATATATATATATATATATATATATAATACGGAATGTATATTTTCAGTTTAAACTTCTACCCAATAACTTTAGTAATTCATGAAAGTTAATTTTGCGTCTAGTTAATTCAGGAAAAATTAGTTTCAATTAGTTGTTTTCAGCTTTAAAAATATTAAAAAATTTTTAATTAGTTGTTTTCAACTAATAATTGTACTCACCATTAGCAAAAATAATGCATCACTATCAACAACAGCTTTTTTTTGGGGGGGAGGGGGGTTGGATCGCAAAACTTGGTGAATGTTATCAAGAATGCAATATTAAAATTTAATAACATTCTTCTGAGCAGCATTTTTTAAACCAAATACTTAATTGTCTATTGAAGCTTCAAAACGTATTTCCCGAACTTCACTTTTTCTCGGCTAGCGTTACCGAATTTGCCCTTGGCGACCTAAAATCGAAATGGAGCCAACAGATTTCCCGCGAAATTGATAACAGACCCTCTGCAGAAATAAACTCATAATCCTGATATCCCATACATATAGTATGTGCAAAAGAGAATAAACTCCGTAGAAGGTGATCAAAAATTAATTTATGGCTTAATTGAAACAAACAAACACAGAAATTAAGCTAAGCAAAACCATGTAAAAACAAATTGAAATGATAAAACGAAACTTAATTTTCATGTGAATTTTCAGCGCTGACTCTCCCATTCTAGAAATTTCAATTTGTTTCAGACAAAAACCACATTTAGCTTTATAAGGATTGTCATCCATCAATATCCAGTCTTTGTAGTCAGCTTGATGAAGCCACAGTTTATTGAAAATGCACTTTCCAGGCATCTCGTTCCTATTGGCGTCGGAAGGGTTGTGGCCTTCCAGGTTGGAATTGCTCTAATTTTGGCAAATATTTTCAGAATTCCCCCCCCCCCTTTTTTTTTCTCGAGCACCTTCATCATCACTTTCGCCTCTTAAAGAACTTTCCGGCTTCACGCTTTCGTCACAGTCTGCCTAAATTTATGGATAACACCTGTTTCGAAAGATTGCGTGAATAGCCAATCAGACACTGATACTTTCGTTCGGGTAGCTAATTGTTTTTTTTAATCGTTTCCAACGCAAATCCTCCAACAGATTGGTTAAGAGCCGTGTAATTTTAATTCCATATTCATGAGAAATCGTAATTCACACTTAGAATGGCAATCATTAGAAATGATAAGAAATGTCAAATGAGCAAAATTAAGGACCGTTTATTCATTTTGGCCAAAATTAAGGGCTATTAAGGACCAAAAATCATTTTTGAAAAAATTAAGGACTTTAAAGGACTTTTAAGGATCGTATGAACCCTGTTCATACGAAGAAGTAAAAATGCAAGAAACATTGAAATGATGTTAGAATACAGGATCAGTTAAACTAAATTTTATTTAATGAAGTCAGAATTCCACTTTGCATTTGTAATGCTCTCTAAAACTGGATTGTAACATTTTGTTTGTGGTACAGGACTGAAAACCTATGCAATTCCTATTATCATTTTAATAAATTTTTATTTTACTTAAATCATCATGAAGAATAAAATTTCAATTGTAAAAGGAAAAATTAAAACACGTAATTATTGTCATTGATCGGAAATTAGTTGACTTTTCAAGGGGAACAAACCAACTCCCGTTCAATGAACAATAATTGATAAAAATACGTAAATACGAAAGTGTTTCGTCTTTACTCGAGTTATAAGTAAAGCCAACCGGCAATTCTAGTCAGGCCAAATATTTCCACGAATAGAAGGAATTATGAACCAATGCTGATACTCAAAGAACTTATTCTTATGAAGCATTTTAGTCAATTCAATTTGGAGTAAAAATCAATTACTGTAGAGAAATTCTATTTAACTCGAGTAACCGTCCCTGACACTTTCATGTTTATGCATTTGAGTACTATATTATTTGTAGAAATTTATATAATTGAAAAAGAAAATGTAAAGCTAACTGGTGATTAGACGTAAGACCTATCTGGTCTCAAAAACTTTTGCGCATAATGCTGCAAAAAGATTTGAAAGAATAGTAGTAGGTAGGAACATTGCTGCGAACTTGCTAAAAAGTTACCAGGAGTTGTAGCTCCACGAAATATTGTAACACAGTTCTACACAAATAATAAGAAATTTGTCCGGAAAAACTGGAGAAACTGTAAATACGCGATAAAACTGCCAAATTCAATGCTGGAAGACTTGCTAATGCACTAAAAAATTAATTAATCTGACCGTTGTGAAATGTGAAAGGTTAACTCACATGAAAAATAGATCGACGGAAAAAAAATATATATATATAAGGAAGGTATAAAAAGCATAGATTATAAAATGTCAACATATAAAATGCTTATACATAAAAATTAAAATTAAAAATTGCCATATATAAAAATGCCTATACTAAAATTAAAATTAAAATGGAAGACACAAAATGCATCAATACAATTTACAATAAACAAAAATTAAATAGCGGAAAAATGGTAAATTAGCAGAAAAATGGTAAATTAACCCACTCGTACTCTCAGTTGGCTTTTCAAGGGAAAAAAACTGTTTTACGAAATAGGTTAAATACTATTACGCGTTTCGTGAAACAGACCATTGAAGCTCTTATTTAATGCGAAAAAATTTTTTATAAAAGAACATTAGTATTTCCTAAAAAATTTTTTGGAATAAATCCTTTTTTGTAGCTCCACTCCTCTGTTCCTTTTTCCCGACGTGTCCGCTGAAAAACACATTAAGGTGTCAAAAGCTATTATAATTCCCAGCAATGTAAAATAAAAATCAAAATCAAAGTAGAAAAATAATAAAATAAAATAAATAGCGGTCTGCTATTAGTCAAAAAATCACAACGTACGGGCTGGTCCTTTAAACCTTAAAGAATATGTAACTTTTATTAGAGTATGTAACTTTTATTAGAAGAATGGTGCTGTAAACAAATAAAAATGTAATCAATTTTGTAAGTAAAAAAAAACGTCGCAGGGTCTTAGTAGGACCAAAAACCAAGACAATAGAAATGAAAAAACTGACCCGAGAGGTTCCGTCCTCAGCTTTCGAAATATTTTTGGAAAAGGGCGCATAATCCCTTACATATATATATATTTTAGTGTTACCACTGCTCGCTTTGAAAATGCTTACTTTTTTTAATCAAAAATTCATTGAGGTGTTACAAAATATGAAATTGATAATAAAACAAATTTCAAATTCAAATTAGAGCTTCTGCACGCCCATATTCTATGGAAGATAACATTATTCAAATTTTGATGGCTCTAGGTAATGTTGTTTTATCACAATGCGAGAAACATTTATACATCTATGCAAATTCTTCATTATTTAATTTCTTTAAATATAATACAGGGCTGTAATATTTGGTGGAACAGTTTGAAAAGTGAATCGACATTTAAAGTTTTCAAATCAAAATGCCGAAACGAAATTAATAGTCCTTCAAGGCAAATTGCCCCTTTGGACTAATAAAGCAACCTTAATATTCTTTCACTAGCAGAATAAGTGGTAATAAAGAATAGGACTATACTGATAAAAAAGATGAAATTATTATTTCATAATTTTTTTAATATGCAGATGTTCCATTTTTTAGTATAAACTAGACTGGATTTCCCAGGAAAAATCATACCCAACTGACTGCTTAGCTAAAGATGCCTACCCTCTTTTTTTTTTTTTTTTTTTTTTTTTTTTTTTTTTTTTTTCCATTGCTTATACTGAACTTTCTACAAGTAAATGCTTGTTATTAGAGGGATTCACTAGGAAATGGGAAGTGATGTGCAGGTACATATAATACTGCTTTTTTTTTTTTTTTTTTTTTCTTCCAAAGAATGACCTGATTTCCAACCTTCAATAACCAAACATCAGAAAAATGCTTCCTATAGCCCTTTGTACATACTTTCACGGAACAGCCATCATGGTAAATTGTATTTTCATGCCACATTCTCTATATGAGCAAATGAGCCTTTCTGCACTAATCCTAAGGTAGAAGACACACCATAACTATAATGCAACCATGTATACTATGTTATTTTAGTTTTTCATGTCTTATTGAGGTTACTTTTTAACTCTCTGTTGTATTACCTCATTTCATACATGAAATCTTAAAAAGAAGTCATCTTGTTTGCCAGATAAAACATTTTTACGTAATCTAAACAGCTTTCATAGCATTTTTAAACAGTCTTTATAGTTTTAAACCAGTTTCCTATCATATTTTAAGCATTTATAATACGTCTATTTTTTCCCCTATTTAATGAAAGTTCATATTTCAAACAAGAGCTGAAAGTAAATTACCTGTTTTTTTCTAGCTTATTATGAACTTCTCTGGTGCCAGTACTAAAAATGAAAGCACATATTTATTACATATACTTATTTAAGAAATTTTATGTAGAATTATAATCATTAGCAACTATATTAATAATTAAGAAACTTCAAAAATAAAAAAGAATGATAATAAGTATTTAAAAAGCAAACAAAAAAAAAAAGAAATGAGTATCAATACAGATGAATCAAAAAAGTAAAATACTAAATCAGAATAGAACAGCAGACTTAAAATTCATTCATGGTGCCAAACCTCACTCTGAAGAATCAAAAGATGACAATGAGATCCCAAAATAGCATTAATACAAATTAAAAAGAAACAAAATAGAAAATAATAAAAAAAATGTATTTCAAAATAAAAAATATAATACTTATCTTATATACATACTTTAAGATAAAATATATAGAAATAATATCAATTAAAAAATGATAAAAATCTAACAGGAAAGGACAGAGACTAAAAAAACAATGTGAAACAAAAAAAAAAAAAAAAAAAAAAATGAAAATGAAAAAGAAAATTGAAAGAAAGTAAAACAATTACTGAATATTAAATAAAATGTAATAAATAATGAATGATAATTCCTTTGTCAAGAAGAAACGAAAAACATTATCAATAGAGTCCACTTCTGAATATAATAAAAAATTATAAATAATGGATGATAATTCCTTTGTCAAGAAGCAACAAAAAGCATTATCAACAGAGTCCATTTCTGAATTATATCTGGATAATGTACAAAAATTCATTAATTAATACAAATAAATAAAAATAATATTAAAAAATCTGAAGCTTTCAGATTTTACATTAAGCCCAAAGGGGCTTTTTTGTGCTTGTTACCTTTATTTATTACATATTGTGTTTTGCAATTAAACCATAAAATTAAATTAAACAGCAATATCGCAAAATAATTTTTAAAATGAGCATATCTTTAGGATTTCTGATGCATAGTCTCGTACACTGAAGACAAAAATGTTCCCCCCATCCCATACAGTGTTGCCATTGCTCACTTTGAAATCATTGAGTTTCTTAAGAAAAAATTCGTGTTAAGTTTTACAAAATATGAAATAGATAATAAAACGAATTCCAAATTTGGGCTTCCAGATACCCATATTCGGGTGGAAACGTACATTATTCATAATTTGATGGCTCTAGGTACCGTTGTTTTATCATAATACAAGAAACATACATACATTTATGCAGATTATTCATTACTTAATTTCTTTAAATATAATACAGGGCTGTAATATTTGGTGGCAACAGTTTGAACAGTGAACCGAACATGAAGTTTTCAACGCAAAATGCCAAAACGAAATTAACAGCCCTTCTGATCCCTTTGGGCTAATAAAAATAGTAGATAGACTATAAATCAAAATTTTGAAACAAGGGAAGAACATTTTTTAATTTTGAAAATTAACTATTCGGAATTCCAAAGAAGCATAATGTGCAAATTACTAAGAATAAGACAGCAGGAAAAAACAAAACTACAGAAAAGGAAAAATTTCTTAAACTTTGTAAAGTGCATATCGAAAACATACAAAAACGAAAAGTAAAAGGTAATTTAAATTCCTAATAGTTAAATTTTAATTTAGAGTTATAAAAGAAAATAGCTTAAGCAAATCCAATAAAACATATAAAGATGACATAACAGAAGGTTCCAATAAGCCCATCAGCAATCAATAAACAAATGAAAAAGTCTGTAGTATGGTTTTAAATCAAGAAAATTTTGTTACCCATAGTGAAGTAACAAAGAAGTTTTTGAGAATGAAAGGATTTTAAATGATAGTTTAGTGCGAATTCTCAACAAGACAATTATACAGCTTGAACAATGAAACTTTGTAAATCAACAAAAGAAAATGTGCTTAGCTATAAAATTAAATAGAAAGTATTAGCACACATATGGAAAAAAAAAAAAAAAAAGCTCAAACAACATACATTGATATAAATATTTAATAAAATAAACAAATAAATATAAAGCTTTTTGAGGGGGTAAATTTTGATTCTCTTAAGATCATTATTGCACTAACTGTTGCATTATTTCATAAATAACTATTTCACATTTTTAATTTTACGATTTCAATATGTCATCTTATTAGGTTTTAAATTGATGATCTAAAATGCAGAAATTCCTAAAATCTAGAATGGTTTAATAAATGATGTACCAATATGCTCAACTGCTTTTGGCCCATCAGTAAACAAAAAAAATTATTACTATACTTTTCCCTGTGCTCAAGACAACCCTGCCTATATGCCAAAACATTAGTTTATCTTTCGCAAAAATCACGGTAAATGTCCAGAAGCCGAATTTTTCAAAGGTGAGCTTTGTTACATGCATTCTCAATAGCATGATCAGATATTCTTCAATTAACAAGTGAACCCAAAGGCTGGTTATACTTTAAACACATCATGAAACAAAACTAGATTATGAAGATGACCAGGTTGTAATAAAATTTTGAAATAATAAAAACATTAGCTCAGGCCTTAACTGAAGTGATGGCTTTGCAACAGTCAATATATCGACTTTTAACTGGAGATGTTTTAAATGCTCTAGAGCATATATCTAGAGCCTGATGGTGAACAAGGTTCTGTTTCAATAAAACGGAAGGCTGTGTAGAATCATAAACAACAGAGCAGCATGCAAGTTTGCAGCAAGCAACTGTTCTTTAAATCTGAAGAAAATAGCAACAATCCTCTACCCAGATGTTCTCCAAGACTTTTAAAACATTCAGTTTTGAAACACTTCTTCGAGTATAGGATGTAGAGAAGGAAGGTAAATTTTCAGTCAAACATCAATCCTAAGAACTTTACTTCAAATGCCACTGAAATTAGCAACACTCAGAATGACAGAAAGAAATGTCAGATAAGTAAAATTAAAGACCCTTTGCTGATTTTGGTCAAAATTAAGACTTTTACGGCACCAAATATCATTTTCAAAAAGCCTAAGAATTGGAAAAGATTGCATAAATCCTGAATTAAAATCTTATGAAGAAATGACTAACAGTTTGAAAGTAAGCATAACAAATGACAGTATTTTTTTTTTTTTTTTTTTTTTTTTTTTTTTACAAGTTTATTTAAATACTTGAAGAAACACAACATTTACACTTTACAGTACACGCACAAGAAATACAAACTAGTGCATGCAATAAAACTGAAAAAAACTTAAACTGATATGAATGAAATTAGGTACTAGCTTTTGAAATTAGACTAACTTTGGATCTTTTCTGTTGTAAAGTAACATGCACCAAAAATTTTTCTATTGAAAGATTTTTGCAACTAATGACCATCATTAAAAGATCTTTTATAATAGCATTCTTCTTTTAAAAGTAATTACCTTTACTGGATATCTTTTAAAGTGTGTCATTTTGTTCCCTTTTTTGGTTACTGAAATAACTAACCACAGAGATATACTTTTTATGCTTAAAAAAATGTTTGCTACAGTCCAAGAGAATTTGTGATGAAAGTGCACATATTAAGGTTGGCATATATATCTTTCTCAAAACAATTGTTTAGTGAATGTTCTATAACAGAAATGATCCCTGAAATCTTCTAAAATACTTGCATTCAAAAACCTAACTTCCATACTCACACACTGCTACTTTTTATACCATCTATTGATTTTAGAGCCCTACTTTTTTAGAAGTAAGATTTAAAGGAACAGCAGTTCTTAACCCACACATATATAATTGAAGGTAATTATTAAATTATCTTAATACTTCTTACCCAGAATGGTCATGGCTTGAAGAAGAATCTCTTGTCACAGAATTAACTGAACGTCTTTTCTCTTTAATCTCTTCCGAAGAATGAGAAGAATTGGATAAGGGTTGCTGCCTCTTTTGAGGAAGTTGCTCTGTGTGATAATACAAGCCATCTTTGCTTGCAGAGCAGAGTTTGGAGAAAGTGGTATAATCGTAAGGTTCTTCGCCTAAAGCAAAAATGCACTTATTTTAAAACCATACTTAAATTTATTTTTCACATAAATTTATTATTACATTTTTAATAATATTAAAACTTAACTAAGATACATTAATCTTGGTAGAGCAGACAGACCTTATAAACAATATCTTTTACCACATAAAACTTTACTGTAATCTATTTTCAGAATTATGTGCAATTATATTTATTCAAATAAAGTTCTTTAACATTTTCTGATATCAATAAAATTAATTGCATTACAAGAAATACTTTTCTGCCCTTGCACAGTAAGTACAGTAAAAAGTCCAATATCCAGAATAATCTAATATTTGGATCTCTGGCCAAAAATAAATAAATAATAATAAAATTTAATCCCTTATGAAATCTGAAAATGGAGAACATAATACTCAACAAAAAGAAGCAGGCATGTATGCTATAAATGCAATTTTTCTTCCCAGTAACAAATTCCTGCATATCACTTTCAAACACCTGCTGGCTACATACAAGTGCACAATGAAGCAAGGCCAGCATTTGTGCATCTAAATTGCACATCAGATATCTACAGGTCTAGCTAACTGCTAAGGTTCTGTCTCAGAAGGAATTTAAAGGGAGAACACCTCAGGGTGTGGTCCGAGAGTCTCCGATTCCTCTTTCAAAACCACTAACCTTCACCCTCCCAAATGACAGGCTCTAGCAGTTAATAGGCATCGGCTACTACCTAAAGTCGTAAGCTTTGGTTTCTTTATTATGAAGGCACCTAATACCATAAGCTTTGGTCTCTTTATTATTAAGACACCTAATACACGGGCCACCATTGCCTCCTATTCCGGAATAGACAAATTACTGCCTTCTTCGGGATTCGAACTTGGGCCTCTGAGTATGGCAATAAGTCAATAACCAATCTCCCATTTGGGTGGCCCCTTACCACTAATGTCTTCAGAGGATTTGGGCTCGCCATGTATTTTAAGCATCCCCTTGCCACGCAGACACTATAGGCTTACAAACATCCATGTCTTCCCTAAGATTTGAAACTGAGCTTTCAATATGGCAGTCAGCAATATTGATTGGCTTCTGGCAGTTGACAAGTTTTAGGTGGGGTAGGGTAGGTGCTACACATTTTGCTGCTCCCCAGTGCCTCGCCTAAATTAACAAATTTTACCATCCCTAATTTTTACTGCTCTGCTCATCTAAACTTTTTTATTTTTGCAACGTGGAGCAGTTCCATTGGCTATGCTGCTGGGTCAGCATTTTGTTTTCTAACCTAACAATAAGCAAAGCCCCAAAGCTGTCATGTTTACATGTCATCTTACTAAATTTAAATTGAGTTGCCCAGCCAGTACAGTGGTTAATGACATTGATTGCCATACCAATATGCCCAATAGAAATACAATAATAACACTAGGCATACTTGGAACCCGGTTCGAATCCCAAAGAAGGCATGTATATTTGTAAGGATACAGTGCCTGAGCGGCAAAGCCACACTCAAAAATACATGGCAATCCAAAAGTCCTCAAAAGGTTGCTGGCAGGGAAAGAGGGGCAGAGGAAGCGTCTCACACCACCCTGAGGTGCTCTTCCTTAAAATGGGATGGAACTGTACAGGTAATGTGGCAGTACTATATCTGTCCGAACAATGGTGAACTTATGACATGCTGCCCAATTTTACCTATGCCTAGCTTTAAACTGATGAAATAAAATCCAGAAAATTCTCAAAAGGATTTCAGGCATTGACCTGTATTAATTGCTATCTGATTGAAAAATAAGCAATAAGATTGCTTTGTTGAGCAGCCACTTGTTCAACATCAAGCTCTGCACTGACTATAGTTTTCAAAGATTTTGTACTTGATTACACATCCCATCAAATACATATCAGTCTTTTGCATGGATTACCAAAATGTTACTTTTCAGTGGAGACTTGAGTCTTCTCTTTTTTATATTGATATAAATACATCATTTTACATCACTAGTGATAATACAGTTAAATTTTTAAAAAAAACTTTGTGCTCTTAAGTAGCTGAGGGTGAAGTAAGAAAATGTACAACCATAGTGGAATGCTGGAGTTTTCACTCTTTCATTCAGAGTATACAGCAACCATGCACTAAATTTTTTGTAAGTTAACCATTAAAAAAAATTATGGGCAATGGTTTTATAAGATTTTCCCATCCAATGGAAAAACCTGATTCCATCAATGCAAAGAAAATTTCAGTACAGGGTTTACGATTGCTGCAGGATTACCTTACAGTGGGAAATTAAAAATTAGAAGAGCTGAAAAAATATTAAAAATAAACTTAATGTATTATCAAGAGAAAGTTTTATGTTCAATATTTATAAAAGAAATTACATTTCTTTATCCCAATGACTTTCAAAGAGTGAAACTACATCAAAACAAAACAACAATTTATACTTCAAAATGTACCACTGCATTCCTTAAAAATGTGAAGATTGATGCAGGTATTGCATATATACCTTTTCAATGTACTCCTAAAAATCTGACATTTCACCTATGAGCCATTGTGCTGCTGGCCTCTTTAATAATGCATTTGTATTATTAAAGAAAGTAAGAAAGCATAATGTGTTAAATTATAAGCTAATATGTCCATGTGACAAAAAAATCTTATAACCGGATAAGCCGGTCATGTATCTCAGAGGGTTAAACAGCCACAAGATTATCAATAAATTGTGCCGCACATATCAAACTATTACCAAATGATTAGAAGCTTTAACCACTGTCACCTAGTCTCCCCCAACACAAGAAGAGTTCCAAGTATGCCAAATGTTATTATTGTATTTCTATCTACTCTATAGCTTCCAAAATATGTTAACTATTTCTGATTTACCAAGCAATGAGGACAATGCTAAAAACTGTCAGCCATTTGGTGATGGTTTGAAACATATGTTGGTAATGTATCAATAATCTTGGTATCATTTAAATAAAAGGGACTGCAATAACAAGAAAATACACAATATTATTAAAATTCATTTTTATTGAGTTTAATTTAACACTAAGCTGGATCGTTCTTTTCAGAATAAATTTCAAGGACTGTGAAGGCCAATTACAATGGGAGCTGGTATAAAGCAAAGAAAAAAAAACAAAAATCAAAAATTAGTTTTCTCCAACTATATGGCATAAAACAGAAACAATTTAAGAATAATTAAAGCTGAAATGCATTCAGAGTGAAGCCAGAAAAGAAGCATGTGGATTTAATTATAAGCAATGAATCAAAAGGAATAAAAAAATGGCAATCTTCTCTACACAGCAAAAACTAGAACCACTTGGAAGGAAATGTGCTTTTAAACACAATAAATGAAAAAAGAACTGAAAAAAAAAGTTGTTGAAGAACAAACAGCCACATCCTCTAATCATTTGTAAACCTCTAATCCTTAGTGCATATCCACCTCTTAAACTTATGCATTCCACAAAAATATTGTACTTCCTGATTGATGAAAACTTACAACCACTAATAATCCATAATAGTATTATGATTAACTCTCTGTCCTACGATTTGGCTCCAAAAAGACGAAATTTTCCCCAAATGACAATACCACTGTTATTTTACATCCGGATTGGACTGGATTGTTATTCAACGGTGCATAACCTCATAAGGTCATAAAACGCAAAACAAATGTCCCTTCTTGTTAAAATTAAATTTTAAAACACATCAAATAATATTCTAATGATAATTTGGTAATGTCTTGATGAAGTCGCAACATGAATGGAAGTATAAAAACAGATAAAACAGCAATATATGTACTAAAATACAAGACAGAGAAAACTTAATGATTTTATGTTGGACAAATGGATAAAATTCACAAGATTAATGCAAAAATAAAATCAGATAAAATTTCAGTACACAAAATAAAACAGTAAAGTTATTGAACTACATTAAAACTAGTTTAGATTAAATTATGCATTCCAGTCTCTTTTAGATACCAAAATAAATTTAAATTGACCTCTCTATTGAGTAAACATTGAATAACTAATAAAGTACTTCAATCAATGTCTGTCAAAACCTGGGATACTCAATTAAAAAAATGATCTACAAACAGAACTGCTTTATACATGGAACTTACAGGTTCAACTTTAGTGTTTAGAAGGTAGTTGTGGGTAACTGAAGAATGACAGATTCTTATATGAGTTAACAAGACTTTCTCCTTCCAATTTCTAAGTAGCCTCCTAATACTCTACTCTAGTTTTTTTCACTTCTCAACTTTCAGATTTGTGCTATTTGATCAGGAAAATTTCAGATTTGTGCTATGTGATCAGGACTTCTTTTTTGATGACCTTGATAATACCTCTAAAAAAAACAAGTCAAATGGGTAAATCGACAGCAAACTTTGCAATTCTGGCTGCTAGCTCATTTGCTCATGTGTCTGAGAATGCAGCAGTAAAAGACCTGATACCCCTGCTTCTTATGTTTAGTCTTTGGATATCAACTACTGTAGGATTCTGGATAAATGGTCAGCGCACTAAACGAATCAATATAGTACAGTCAAAAGTCGCTAATTCGGACACCCATAATCCGGACCTCAAAGCTACAAACTTTCTGCGCATGCGTCGCGTTGATGCATGCGGGTAAGACCTTTACGGCAGCGAATATGCACCTTTACGGTAAATGCAATTTTATAAAAATAAGCTTGAACTTTCGATTATGTCAAACAGAATTTCCGATATATATTTACTAATATGTAAAGGATCTACAAAGTGAAAGTATGTTTCGAAGTCCATTAAACAAAAAGTGGAATTGCTGCAAAAAATGGATAAAGAATAATCCTTTGTTTAGCTAACTATTCCAAAATCTGTTTATCAATTTCACGCTCCTCTGCGGCGATGAGGGGGGGGAATGCTGTGGCGCGCCATGAATTGAAAGTTGATCTGTCAGCACTATCCTTATCTTCAGGGCAGATATTTTTATTTTATTTGGCTTATAATTCCTTACTAAATGTAGTATTTCATCTCAATGTACTCCGTCTTTGATATGATTTAAATCAAATTCCTCGTCATTATAATTCGCTTCCGATAGTGAAGAAAGTGACACAGAGGTTATTGAAAACGAAAAAATTTCGATTGACAAATTAGTCGGTATTCTCGACACAGCAATTATAGGACTTGAACAGCGGAACTTTGTAACTGAACAAGAAATTATGTCTGTTTATAGAATTAAAGAGAAAGTATTATCACATAAAACGAAGCAACTTAAACAACTTACATTGAAAGAAATGTTTAATAAAGTAAACAAATAAATATTAAGCTTTCTTTTTTTGTAAATTTTGATACCCTTTAGATCGTAATTGTTCTTTATTTCATAAATTACGGTTTCATATTTTTAATTTTATAATTTCTGCATGCCATCTTAAAGGATTTAAATTGATGATCTATAATCCGGAAAAATCGATAATCCGGAATCGCCGAAGTCCTGACGAGTCCGGATTAACGACTTTTGAGTGTATATAACAAACTTTCTTCTGCATAGCCCAGATATGAATAAAAGCATGTTGTATATAGCAGCCAGGCGTCATGTACTCATCTGGCCTTCGTGCAGCTGCCCGTTACAAAATGATACCAATATGACCACATGCTTTAGACCCATTTGCTTATACAGGAATGTAAATGGCATACTTATAACCTGTGCTCAAGAAAAACTGCCTATATATACACTCCTGATTATCTCTTTTGCCAGGATGTTGGAAAATGTCAAGAAATGTAATTAGTGCAATCTCCCCAGATGGAAACAGAAAATGCTTTAGTGCCTGGATGCATTATGTGATGTTTTTCAAATATTGGGAAAACTTTTATAGACCAACAAGGCTCAGAAGTCAGTCCAGCTTCAAATAAGACATTGCATATGTCATCAAACAAAGCAACCTTACTAGGACGGTCAGAGTGTAAAAGTACATTGAAATGAAGGCAAAGAGATAATTGCTGACACCTTAACCGAAGGGTGGTTCGTATCAACCAACATATATAATTTGGGCTAAACACATTTTAAATGCTCTGGAATACATATGCACAGTCTGATGATGTACTAGACCCAGCTTCAGCAATACAGAAGGCCATGCAAGCCATAGTCTAATCTTAAGTGAACAAGTGTTCTATGAATATGAAGCAATCAATAATCCATGTTCCAGGAAGTGTTCGCCAGAACTTTTAGAATGTTCAATGTTTTAAAACACTTTTTCCTCAAGTACAGGACATGCTGAAGGAAGGTCAGTTTTCAGTCAAATTTCACTCCTAAGAATTTCCTTTTCGATGCTACAATAATCACAGAGTCTTGACAGTGAAGCTCAGACTCAGGGTGAAAATTTAATCTTAAAATGTACACACATACAGTCTTCAGACTCAGAGTGAAAATTTCATCTTCCAAATGTACACACATAGTCTTCTGTTTAGAAAACACTAAGTCATGCCTAACAACCATTTCTATACCCTGTTCAGAGAGAACTGCAGTTGTCTCTCCACATTTCAAATCTGTAACTTGGCATCTTATCTGGAAGTCATCAAAATACAGAGTTCCTGAAATAATACACAAAAGTTCCTTTAGAACAAAATTTATTTTTAAACTAAAAAGAACAAAATTAAGAACCCAACATCGAGGCACAATGTCTTCTTGACAGAAAGTATCTTGATAGCACAGAGCTAATTCTAATTTGGAAAGGGTTATCCTTCAAAAATTCCTGTATGAAAACTGGTGCATTGATGCTAATAATGACTGGCAGAACAGTCATACAAAATGCTGTATCTTCATGCCTTATTGTAAAATACTGAATTTAATAGTTTCTTCTGACAAGGACTTTACAGATTCAGGTTTCCAAAATGAGGATAATACTGATGATCTTTCTACCTTTAAGCAAATTACTGATATAGCAAGGTTACTTTTCATAGTACAGTACAAAGTCCGTAATCCGGACGTCCATCATCCGGAATGATCTATAATCTGGACCTCAAAGCCACAAACTTACACATGCGCATTTGATGCGCACGTCCGTCATGTGCGTAAAGCCAGTAAAGTGTTTACATGCACGCTTCCGATAGTGAAGAAAGTGCCAGAGAGGTTATTGAAAACGAAAAAATTCCGATTGACAAGTTAGTCGGTATTCTCGACACAGCAATTACAGGATTTGAACAGTGGAACTTTGTAACTGAACAAGAAATTATGTCTGTTTATAGAAGAGAGAATTAAAGAGAAAGTATTAGCACAAAAAACGAAGCAACTTAAACAACTTACATTGAAAGAAGTGTTTAATAAAGTAAATAAATATTAAGCTTTTTTTTTTTTTTTTTTTGTAAATTTTGATACCCTTTAGATCATAATTGCTCTTTATTTCATAAATTACGGTTTCATATTTTTAATTGTATAATTTCTGCATGCCATCTTACTAGATTTAAACTGATGATCTATAATCCGGAATCGCCGAAGTCCCGACGAGTCCGCATTATGGACATTGTACTGTAGTTACTTTCTTCTTTTCTTAGTAGCAGATCAGGCAATAGTTTAAAATTTTTTTAAATTGTTTGCACATATAATTTGTAAATGTTATAGGCCAGTAGCTGGAGGTATTTGGGGTTTTCTCTGGTTTAGCTATTTGAATAATAATAGTCTTCTTTCATGCAATCAGAAAAGTAAGCTCTTTCTACACTTAACTGCAAACAGCAAGAAGAGTTGCTCAATGTCTTAATGAAAAATCCTTCATCATTTCTAACTGACACCATTAGGATATGGACTAGAACTAGTCTCCCACAAAGAATTCCTTAGCTCAAGCACAGTAAAATAACCATTACAAGACTCCAAAGAGGAAAGCTGAATGTAATCGGAATTTCCTCTAAACGATATTCAACAGAAAGAAATGCTGGCAAGTAATTTCGGTCACTAGAAACGGCAGCAAAAGTCTCACCAACTGTATTCACAGTTTCTTCTAATCACTCAACCATCCTTTTCCAAAAAAGAAAGCTAGTGTCTTTATACATTGCGTAAACTTTCTTAACCATTTTTCATAGTTTATGTGAGATAAATGATCCAAACACGAAGTGCTCTGGCTCTTGCAGCTTACACTTCTTCCATTCAAATTCTTGGTTGTTTTGAAAATTATAAAAGATTGCCAAAGTATGATAACTAACAAAAGTTCCCCATGCATCTCTCTTATCTCCACATGTTCTGGCATTCACAGCTCCACCACAGTTTTGAACATTTCGGTAATTTTCCTAATGTGGCATACATAGTAGACACCGTACCTGGTTATCAATAACTATTTTCACTGCATCAACAGACACATCATTTAACATTCCTTCTATGAACTCTGTAAGAGACAAAAAGAGTTCCCAGTCTGACCTATCAAGCTTAAAATGAAGACATCCTAACATGAGATTCTCTTTCTCAAGCGAGAGATACAAAAATGGTAAAAGTGACTGATATTATAAGAATAATTTTCAACACTAAAATTCCAAAAAGGCATGAGAAATCATAAAGAGATGGCCAGATCAAGAGTGTGCAAAATCCTTGTAGGCTCATGAAGTAGGTATCCTGTTCATTACTGAGAAGACAAAGACAACGATCTTTGATCAGTTTCTCTGCCTCAAGAATTGGTATATTTACTTCCCCAGAATGGACTATAGCCATTAACATCATTAAGATAAAAGGTTCAAGCAACTGTTTTACAAAAAAATCTTAATCAGTTCATCTATAAGAAATCTAAATCTTGTTGATAAATGTGATCATTCAGATGTAAATAAACAGAATATATTTAATTTAATATTCATATAATTTTTTGGATGGCAATAGCTTGGAAGCTTGTGATGTAAGGAAACAACCTGGAGAGATAGCCAAATGATTTAAAGAGACATATTTCCATTGACATGCTCACCTACACGATTGTCTCTGCCAGCGCTCTACTGCACTGGCAAACACCCAGGACGATGGGCACTGCTCAGATATTTGATGTTAATGACATTTTGGTAGAAGCATCAACAGTTCCATGAAATGAAGATGACCATTATATATGATATTTGTTCTTCCTGTGCTGCTCCTTTGCTCTGATATGGAAGTAAGTGTTTTGGGATACCTAATCCCTCTGAAATGAGGAAATACACTATTGCATAATTCACTGGCATTTGCTTCAGTTTCAGTCTTTTTAAACACATTTAAACTCCCATCAGTTTTTCAAATAGTTTTTTGGGACTAGTTCTAAATCATTTTTAAGCTCCACCCACCATGCAGTCCAACAAGACACAGATTCATGCACCAGAACTAAACAGCACATGCAAATTGAAGCCCCAAAGTTGGTTTTCCTGAAATATTATTCCCAAGCACTAACACTTAGGAATCAGAACTTTGAAGGTAGTTTAAATGACAAAACTGCACACTGGTAAAGTAAAGTAAAAAAAAAAAAAAAAAAAAAAAAAAAAAAAGGTTTTTTTCATTAAATTCGTCACTTCATTCATCTGCTACTTCATTAAATAGTTGCATTTTGCTACATTTACTTAAAGGAGCTTGAGAAAAAGATAATTAGGGCATTAATGATTTAAAGCAAATAAACATCCTGCATTTAAAGACAGCAGCAAATTTTTAGAGCTCATTCCTGTTTTATTAATTTTTCTACTTTGTTAATATAAAATATGATAAGTATATAAAAACATAAAAATATGATGAAATATCTAAAACTTTAACCATTTTATTGAGAGTACAATAAGAAAATAAATAAAATGGCTTTAAGGACTTCTTTTGGGTCAAAAGTCTTACTATAATACATTGTATCATCCAAAACATTCTGCAGTCTTGTGATGATATATTCAAATTAAGCAATAGAAAAGCATAACAAAATTTCATTCAATCACATAAGCACCATTTTTTTTTTTCCCCTGCCATCTCCCTGACAGCTTGAAAAATGAAAAATCTTTAGTTAAAAGAAATCATTAGGTTTATTTATAAAGAAGTTACAGAACTACTATTTAACGGTCTCAAAGAAGTGAACTCCAGGTCATTTAAAGCATTTTGCAGTGACATGAAGAAATGAAAATCCAAGGTTGGTTTTTTAAATGGCACAAAGCCTCGAGGGTTAGTATGTGCCAGACAAATGGTGAGTAAAATTCAAGATGCATAAACAAATATCAAGTGAATTGATGAAATGAACGTGAAATACTGATGAAGGCATGGAGAAATGACTTTAAAATGTCCAGGCAGAAATGACTGAAAAAAGCTCTAACAACAGGTAGAGCAGGATAAAATGTAGTTCAAATCATATGATAAAAGGAGATGTCTTTTAACCCGCGAGCACACGCACCGATCCGACGAACACAAGAACACGCGCCGGGTATGTGATACCCGAATGAAAAGTTTGTAATTAAAATTTGCCGAATAAAATTAATCGGTTTTTAAAAGAAATTAAAATGTAAAACCAAGTTAATACTTCATTTTAGACAAAATATGAAAGAATAAGGAGAGGTAAAATTCTTTATTTACAATTTTTTGAACATTGTTTACAAAATGAGGTCATTTGTTCCATACATATACTTTTGCTGCAATTTTCACAAATGAATCTAGTCTTTCTATCTTTTTTCTTGGAGCACTCTGTAGACCTCTTGTAAGTAATTTTAGGTTTTCTGGAAGATGGTTTATTGTTAACATGTTCATCGGTGGTCAGAGTTATTCTAGAATCAGGAACTACAGATGTTCGTCGTCGTTCACTTTGAACACTTTCTATTAGCTGCATCCCTAAGGCTTTGAGAAAAGTACACCTGGTACGGTATTCCGTTGGTAGTTCCTTCTTTGATAGTAGAATTATTCTTGCATTAATGGCAGCCACGTTTAACACTGAAAAGAAAATCACCATAAGCCATCGACGTGCTACTCTTGCTGTAGCCATCTCATCTACAACATTGACTGCTCCTTTTGTCATGTTATAGAATATAATGATTTCAGGCTTTTTAAATTCCCCAGTAGATTCATCGATTTGATCGTCGGAATGCATTGTGAACAACAGTATCACACTCTTATTTTTTTCGGCATATAAGATACAAGTGTTGCTTCTTTCTGAAAACCGAAAATTGAAGAATATGCTTCTTTTTGCTTTGCCAGAAACTCATGTGGGATTTCTCTCTTATTTTTACGCATTGTACCTACTATCGTAATTTTCTTCTTTTGGAGATCTTGAGATAATTCATATCCCATATACCAATTAGCAACTGTTAAATTTCGACCAGAGTTGTATAAGGGCCTTATTAAACGTTTGACAACTTCGCTTGCACCGTTTTCAACATGAAATGGCCCATCTGGTTGTTTACCAGCATAAATTTCCATACTCCAGGTATAAAATACCCTTGCGTCTACAAGAGCAAATATTTTTATGCCATACTTTGCTGGCTTGTTGGGCATATATTGTTTGAAGGCACAATGATTCCAACTTCTCATCAATGGTCACATACTCTCCTAAAGTGTAAGCCTTTTGGCAATTTGTAACAAAATTTCCAAAAAATTCTCTGATTGGAGCTAATTTATCAACATCTCTTCTACTGGGATGATCTCTAATGTCATCAAAACAGAGGCATCATAAAAGAAAGAGGAATCGGTTCACTGACATTGTTTCCCGAAATACGAGGGCTATCCAGAAAGTAGATTACGTTTTGGAATAAAAAAATAAACAAAGTATAGGAAACAAATTTTATTATATACAGATGAAAGCCACACTCAAATACTACTTTTCTACATAGTCACCATACAAATTAAGGCATTTATCGTAGCGATGTACGAGCTTGGAAATTCCTTCGTCGAAAAATTCGGCCGCCTGCGCCTTCAACCACTTCGTTACCTCTTCTTGCAGCTGTGCGTCGTCATCAAAACGCTGCATAGCCAGCCACTTCTTCATTGCTGGGAATAGGTGGAAGTCGCTCGGTGCCAGGTCGGGACTGTACGGCGGATGAGGAAACAACTCCCACTTAAAAGATTCAAGAACTTTACGAGTGACATTTGCCGTGTGGGGCCGGGTGTTGTCGTGAATCAACAAGATCTTAGAGCTCAACATTCCTCTGCGCTTGTTTTGAATTGCTCTTCTGAGTTTTTGGAGAGTTTGGCAATACCTTTGAGAGTTTATTGTAGTGCCTCTTTCCAGGAAGTCCACCAAAATTACACCTTTTCTGTCCCAAAAAACAGTCGCCATCATCTTCCTTGCCGACATTGTTTGCATGCATTTCTTGGGTTTTTGGGGAGAACTTGTGTGCCCCCACTGCATTGATTGCAATTTCGTTTCACAGTTCACATGTTTCACCCATGTTTCGTCACCAGTAACGATGCGATCGAGTAAAGAGTCACCATCCTTATGGTAAGCGTCCAAAAAGTTCAACGCTGCAGCCATTCGCTGATTTTTGTGGTCCTCTGTCAAGATTTTTGGAATCCATCTTGCACAAAACTTGTGGTAACCAAGCTTTTCGCTGATGATTTCGTGCAACAAACTTCGCGAAATTTGTGGAAAACTCAAAGAAAGTTCCGTTATTGTGAAATTTCGATTTTCACGGACTTTAGCATCGACTTTTTCGAGAAGTTCGGCGGTCACTATGCTGGGTCTCCCACTTCGATCTTCGTCGTGAACATTGGTTCGGCCATTTTGAAATCTTATGACCCACTGACGCACTCCACCTTCAGTGATAATGTTGTCCCCATACACTTCACGAAGCTGCCGATAGATTTCTATCGGTTTACAGTTTTTTGCAGTCAGAAACCTTATTACTGAGCGCACCTCGCAGCTCGCGGGATTTTCAATTAACGCAGACATTTCAAACCGTCACAGTATCTGAACGGAGCACAGCACGAACCTCTCACTAGCACGGCTAGATGCAGACTGAGCTGCGCAACGCTCTGACCCCAAGATGGCCGCGCTAGCCCCGCCCCTAGCGGACACAGACGGAAACGTAATCTACTTCCTGGATGGCCCTCGTATGTCCACTGTTGCCCACAAATCTCTTCGTTCACATGGGATGATTTATAAACTCCACATAAATACAGCAATCCAATTAAAGCTTTGATTTCCAAATCATTTGTTGCTTTCGCGTCCCATTCACGAGTGAAATTTCCACGTACTGAATCAATATAAATATTTGTATTGTCGACTACATGTTTTAACATAGCTTCATCGATAAGCAGTGACCAGGAATCTAAAGGTGTTGAGACGTCTTTAGAATACTTCGTATTTCCAGGGAGTTTAGTTATAATATTTTTGGCGCCAATTCTAACATTAGTCCGGAATTTATTTTTGTTCCATTTTACTCCATTTTTTCCAACATAAAACTCATTGCTACATTCCAAAGTTTCATTTTTTGTTTCTGTATCTGAATCACTACTCTCTATGGATGAATCATGATTACTATTATATTCTTCGTCATCAACATCTTCATCGTCTTCACTAAATGAATCCTCATCAGAAGAAATTGTTTCAAGAAGATTTCTCAATCTTTTCATCTCTTCATCGTAAGGAATATACGGCGCCATGCTTACAACTCAAGAAAAACCTATACTAAAAGCTTGAAAACGAGAAGTGCGAAGTGACTCACTGAGAAACGCGAGTACACGCGCGGGTATGACATGCCCGAACAATGCTGTTCCTAAAAAACCGTTGCACCTGTCACCTCAGGAATTTCCCCCATTTAAGTATGTGACCTTGAACTCAGCTACACCAAGTTTCGTCCTTTTATGAAAGAATGGGTGAGAAATATACAAAAAGAAAAATGCACATGGGTATGACATACCCGTTGGTGGCTCGGGGTTAACCAAGTATGTTGTTTTCCAATGAATTTGTACCGGTAGGTTAAATAAAATTGTTTTAAGGGAAGTGGAATTTGTGTGATCTGAATGCCACAATGGCTCTATCTTTTCAAGAGGACTGTGTGTCATCTCAATAAAATTCGTAAAGCGAGTCAATAGTACATCCTCCTTCCGATTCCCTTCGATCCTAGTACTCCAAAATTGGGTTACCGCCTTAATTTGTTCAGAGTTTGGCATTCCAAAATCTTGCACATGAACAAGACTTTGTTCTAATGCAATTCCATATGTCTGTAAAAGGACATCGTTTTGAGGTAATATCACCAGATTTTGCTGAATATCGGAGAGTTCATTGCCTTGATGCCAGTGTGTCCAGGCACCCAGCAGTACGGGATATAATAAACTGTGTTTCTCAAAGGAGGTGTGCCTTAAAATATCTAAGACCAAAGAGGGGATTGTATTATTGATAAGAGCACTCAGAGAGAGTAGATGATGAATTTTATGCTATTGCTAGAGATAAAGATTAGGCATCAAATGCAAAAGTTCCGAGTAAGACAGATGCAGCCTTATGAAGTTACTACTTTATTTTATCAAAACAAGCTGCCCCGAAGTGGTCATATTCTTTGAGCCATCAGTAAAAATGCTTGTAGTTAGAATAACTGCTCTATGCTCTAGGAAATATGTTGGTGATGAATATATGGTATGCTCTTCTTATTCTCCAAAATGTTAAGTAGGGAATGTTCACTTTGCAGGGGCATACCGAAAAGGTCAAAGCTTTTGGGAGCAGATCATTAGTTAAATCTCAATCAGTCAGTGAAGAAAGATCAAAAGTGGATACATGAGGACGGGCATGGTAAAGACGCCAGTACTGATCAGATGCAGAGTCGGACAGGGTGTTCAGCCTGGACATCTTATGATATTATAATGAGATGCTTGCGTCTGAATTCAAAGAGATTCAAATAGATGACATATAAACTTTGGACTGAAGATGTTCTGAGGCTCACAGCAATCCTAGCGCTGATGGTGGACTGGATCCAATTTCAGGAGCACAGAAGGTCTGCTGATCTTAGATAACACAGCACAGTCAAGTTGGAACGGATTTAAAGCTGGATAAATGCGGAGCATAGAACACGTTCTGCTCCCCTGGGTAGGCAGGGCTTTAGATGTTGAGAGTTAGCAATTTTTCTTTAGATTTAGGATATGCGGAAGGAAAGTGAGCTTTCTGCAAAGATAACTCTAAGAATTTGCTCGGCTAACGGGGATCAAAGAGGCATTAAGATCAGATCTGGATCAGGAGGTAGATTTTTTGGACAGAAGGCACACGCAGACTGCTTGGCTAGAAAATTTAAACCATCGTGGCCACTTTTGATTCTATAAGAGCAATTGTAGTGTCTTCAATGTATCTCATATATTGACCTTGACAATAGATCATAGATCATAACATACAGGGAACTGTACAATGTGGGAGGAAGTTCTCTTAAAATGGAATTAATTTCAGTTGAAAAGGTGACACGAGCATGAACCTTGTGTACCCTTCTGTTGTACAAATACTTGAGAGAGCAAGACCCAATCTGACTGGAAATGCGGTCCTTCAAAAGTTTGATAAAGTGAGTAGATTACCTCGCAACCACCGCTGTCAAGGTCATGAAGAGTCCATGCGCCAAGTTCTATCGTATGCCTTTCCAAGTCAAAGAAGATTGAAACCACGATTTCTTTTCCCAAATGCATTGCATACTGCGGTTTCTAAAAACAGGGCATTATCAAGTGAAGATCTTCCCTTACAGAAACCACTTTTGTAAGTGTTTGTAAGGCAATAGGCAATGATTAGTCTCCAGATAGTAGGTGAAGACGGTGATTTACCATTTTTTCCATAATCTTGCAAAAGCAGCTAGTGAGCGTGATGGGGCGACAATTTAAAGGATTTTTCGGGTCCTTGCTGGGTTTTACTATAAGGATAACAAAGGCCCTGTACCAGGCAGTAGGAAAAATTTGTTCCTTCCATATCTTATCATACAGAGCAAGAAAGACCACTAGAGATTCATAGGGCAGGTGCTTTATCATCAGATAACTATGCAAAGGACAGGGGAGTCCTATCAGGCGAGATATTCATTCTTAATTAAACATCGTGAGACTTTATTATAAGATCTGCATTAGATTGAAAATCGATTTGAATCCTTCCAGCGCTCTTGTGGGCAGAACTCTTTGTTAATTGTAGTGCCA